AGGAGGAGGAGAACGGGTGGCAACCACAAGGTCGGTATTTGTCTCGTGAAGAGGTTCTGTAACAGGTTCACTAGCAGGGGCCGATATCGCGACTGTAACCGGTGTACCCGACGTGGCTCCAACATCGTCACCCGCCACGGCACGACCAACAACCTTCTTCTTCAAGCTTTCCAGAAAATTCATGCGACCCATCTCGGTATCCTTCACTGAAAATTTACGTCGATAATCTTTTGCTTCCCGAACAGATTGGAATCCAAAGAATCCTAATAACGGGTAATAAACTGAAAGGAAAAAACAAGTAACGGAAATCATTTCAATATTCAATGAATTTACCTGGTTCAAAGTCATGAATTAAGTCAATACCATGAGAACTCACCAGGTTCAAAGTCGGGGATTGCTTTCTTGGGTCCAAGTTTAGCGTCAGCAAGTTTAGAATTCTTCGTCAGTAGATTCCACTTGCGTTCCGAAACACTAAGCTTTGCAATTTCCTCAAGCTTTTCTCTAAACTCACCGCTTAATCGCGGCTCCTTTTTCCTTTTGGCTACAAATACGAAAAGGTCCGACCTGTTAGCGAAAGAAAAACAACTCGTCAGGAGATTCTGAGTAAAAGAAAGGAACTTACAGAAAGAAGAAACAACTCGGGTTGGGATGGTCATCCCATCAATTGGTGCTTCAAGTCGAAAATCGGAAGACTGCCAATCTCCACCAACCCACAAACATTCGTCTTGGAAACCGTGAAGGGTTTCAGGAATCCCAGTAATTAGCTGTCCTATCTTCAAGTCGTATTGCGGCCTCGCCGCACAGAAAAAACAGCCTGTTGGGGGAACCCCTTCACGCTCCCTACTTCTCTTAAAGAGCAAAATACTTCTTAATTCGTCGATCGTAGGGAATGGAAATTTCTTTTGCGCCAAAAGGACCATAATCCCTATAATCTTCTTCCAGCTGTTGGGAGTAATATGACTAAGGCTGAGACCCCAATCGCGCAAGTAGTCAGTTATTACGTTGTCTAGAGGAAATCTCAAGCCCGACCTCAGACTTTCGGCAAAAATCCCCACACAACCGGAAGGAGGACAATGAATCCTTTCTCCTGGATAAGGAGCAAAGATTCGCACCGAGGTAGGGATTCGTACCGACTCATGAAAAAGAACTACATCAGCATCAGTCATGGTGCTGGGCTCTCCCAGAAACAGAACATCATCGTCGGGCCATCGTCGAGTAGGGCGATTCCAATAACCCGACCTCACGGGTACATCTCGTTCCACCTCGGCATCTCCTTCAACATTGTGCTTACGGATGTCTAAACGTTCCACAAAAACAGGGTCCCACCGGTAATAATCCCCCATCAACTCCATCAACTCCTCATCCAACCTCACGTCCAACACAGTTCGACTGCTACTGCTTGGCCCAACGTGCTCACCACTCACCGCCATAATCACAACCAAGAAAAACAACGCAAAGGAATTACGAAGTGAAAGGAAGAAATTAGGGCTTACCGAAAAGTGAAGTAAACTCTCAAAGAATTCTGGATTTGTCGAAATATGAAGAAAAAATGGAAGGAAAGAGGCAAAAAATAATGGGATAATCGGAAAGATAAAAAGTTGCTCGAATGAAGATTTTGTGAAGAGGGACTGTGAACTTATTTGTATATATACGTAATATTTTCTAACCGTTGAAGATGGAGGGGCGCGTGAGAAACCGTCGCGTCGTTTGAAGGAAATTCCCCTTAATTATGACATAAGGTTCAGGTATAATCTCATACGTACGCGTGTCCCGAAACCGTCAACATTAATATCCGAAAATTATGGTACGTGCCCGTTGAGAAGAGTATTGGAGAAGACACGTTCGCAACCTCTCAAAAACTGCTCTATGATTATTAAATGATCCTAGTAAAGGAGCGAAAAGATGTGATTCTTGTCTAAGGGAAGTACCTCGGTTTAAACTTGCGTGGGAGATCCTTAGATCAACTCGGAAACAAAAAAAAATTGGATAGGAGATGTCATTAAAAAGTATGCATATTCGCATACTTCTTAATGCCAGGGGCCTCTATGTTGATATCAAGATCAAATATCTTGAAATAAAGGTTAGATTAAAGAATTCATGAAGTCTAAACCGCGAACTGGATCTTTGGTGATATAGAACGGAATATATGACACCTCGAAAATATTATCTCGGTTCTCATACGATGTTCCGAGTGAAGCAGTAAATCCTAAAGGTCGTCAGAATAAATCCTTGAAACCTCGAAAAGGCCACCTCGGTTGAAGAACAGCTTGTCAGGAAGTCGTAGAAGATTGAAACTCCACCAAAATGCCGACGTCACAAAATGGTACCGACTTCAATCCGACAGAAGTGACGCTTGTCAACACAGATAGAGGAGCGCCCATGCTCATCATTGCCTAAAAAGCTTGTCTACGTCATTGCCGCCCCTAAACTGTCAAATCTTCATTAAAACGAAGTTGATTTGTCTAGGGAGGTGTGCCAAGCATAACTATAAATAGCAACATCGAAAATGATACTAGGATTCGGCAAAAAGTGATACATACATATATATTCATCTCGGTTTTTCCCTGTTTACCGACTTAGTGAACATTGAAAAACCGACTTTCCAATTCTGTAACCGACTTCAAGATTTCAATAAAAATCTCATTTTCTGTAATTTTTTACTGTGATTTTTACATTAATTACGTTGATAAACCCGTTTATCAACAATCATAATGGAGTGAAGAAATGAACAAAATAAACAATTTAAACTTATAAACTTAATTAATCATAAACTATTTTATGATTAACTTGTATTCTTATCCAAATATAATTAATCATAAAAAATGGCCTCTATTCATAGCCATGAATGAGCTTTTTGGTAGATAAAACTTATTCCACCAAGTTTAATAAAATTCTCACCGATTGTTGAAAAAAATGCTAACTTAAAGACTTAGCAAAACTTTCTTGTGATTTTTTCATCTCATTTTCACCAATTGATGACCAAAATTTCGTGCTTAATGTGATGTAATTTATTCCATATATTATTTAAAAAATATCACCGTTCATCATATAAAAATCTTTGGAACAAAATAATAAAAATAATAAAAATCATCATTTTTTTTATTACTTATGCATTTTCTTTCAAAATGGCTGATTTTTAAAACTCTTTTACTGAAAAGTAATGCTCATATATGGTCTTGGATCATGCTAATAAACCTAGAATAATACAATTTACGGAACTCAATTCGGACCTAAAACGAACGTTTACCGTAAAACTGAAAATTCTAAAATTTAAATCCTTTGCTCACAGTTTTTCTTCAATTTAATAAACATATTGCGTCTTAGAATCTAATATAATTATCTTGAATTATTCTACATTTACGGAACCACATTCGGACTTAAACCGAACGATTACCGTAAAACCGAAAATTCTAAAAATTTCGGTTTCTCTTAAAATAATTTAAATAGACTATAATGTCTAAATAAATTTTCTCACTTCTTTGAACATTTATCACTTAAATGTTCATAGATACTTAACCGCACTTCGAGACTTAACTTGTATCAACTTATGCTAAAGCTCAATATTATGATGTTATCTTGATGACTTGAACACTTAGAAAAATTCTAAGTATTTAGTACTAAGGCTAGGCTATTTCTTAATTAAGTTCAACTCATGACCGAACATACTTGAGTTCAGTTCACTACTTATCTTAAACGTTTAATCAAAATGTACTCAATTTCGATTATTCGTCATCTTATATTAATTAATCCCGTCTTATAAATCCATTTATAAAAATAAACAGACCGGAATTAATTAATTACTGAACTGGCTCGATTACTGAATAATATTGAACCGAGAATACTTTCGACTTACAGTCGAATTTTTAACTGAATAACTTAATAACTGGCTTGGAACAAGGAACGAGCATTAATAAAAGTAATTAGTTCATACTTAGAATAATTACATTTATTAATTACTGAATGGGATATTACATATAAACCCTAGCCTTCATACCTGGTGGAAGCTCATAGAGAATATTTGGCCCGGTTGGCATGTTTGCAGGCACCACAGGCATGGGATTTGAAGCACTGCTTGGTGTTGTTGGAGTATCCATTGTCTGTGAATGCATCCCAACTGCAGGAACTTCCGATGATGTGCCGCAGGTTTTAATTTTGTCCATGGTATTTGGAAATTAGGGTTCTTATTTTGTGAATTGGGATTTTAGCAACAGACTTTGAATTAGGGATTTAGAGTTTTGATTCTCAATTTGAGAACTGAACTGAAAAATGGTGATGAGAGAATTGCCGATTTGATCTGAGAATATGGTTTGAGAATGAAACTGAGAGTTGTGACGGAGACGTCGGAGAGCGACTGAGAAACAGCGTGAAAAATTCAGAAATTGGCTAAATGAAGAGTGAAGTCGACAAGTCGTCTCTTATCAGAGCTATCTATTCACTATTTGACATTGGACCAAATGCAATTGTTATCAGTTATTTAATTTTTTTGGGCCTGACATACAAATACAAAACAAAAGGCCCAAGGCAATAAGGCATGCAGATTGCAGAAGTAGAACAGTGACTAATCACTAATGTCTAATGAGTTTAATAATTATTCACTATATTATTAATATAAATATAATAATAATGTATTATATATAGATATATATATAATATTTTTGTACAAAAAAATAAAACGCGACAAACGGGACGGTTCGGGAAAAAAATATTAGAAACCTATACCGGCATTGTTTAAATCGGTTCGGGACCGAGAACGGGACGAAAATAAAAAAAATCTTTTTGAATCCGATTTTTCAGAACGAGACTATTTCAGTCCCGTTCGGGATCGAGAAATTCGGTTTTTTTGCCCACCCCTATTGAGAGTGGCAAAGAAGGGAGAAAAGGAAATTTCGTAAATAAAGACAAATGCAAGAAAGGCATCCACCTGGCCTTGATTCCCAGTCTCCTGTTTTTATTACCTCAATCAAACACTGGCACTGCCTGGCCCCCTCCTAAAGTCAACGCCTCCCCTCTCTCTCTCTCTCTCTCTCTCAATACTCATTTTCGTCCCACCAAATGAAATTAGGTCCTGATCGAGAAAAAAAGTTTTTTCTCCTCACAGAAAATAAATGGGCAACGGTGCTGGGAAGCTTGCGGTGTGCTTCACCGGGGTGGGTCCCACCGCTGAGGATGCTCGGCGGCGCCGGCGGAAGAGCATGGTCATGTCCGATCCCCCCGAAGACCTTGGCCACTCCTTCTGCTACATACGCCCCGAACTGACCGCCCCCAAGGTCCACTCCGAGGAGACGACGACGACGACCTCATTTAAGTCCATCTCCGGCGCCGCCGTCAGCGCCAACACCTCCACGCCGCTCTCCACCGACCTCTTCTACTCTCTGACCACCGCCGACCGGGCCGCCTCCGCCTTCGAGGGCTCCACCTCCTTCGCCTCCATCCCTCTCCAGCCCATTCCCCGGGCCCACTCAGGCCCGATCCCCAACTCCGGACCCCTCGACAGAGGGTTCATGTCCGGCCCAATCGAGCGGGCCTTCTTGTCGGGCCCCCTCGACCACTTCCAACGCAGCTACTCCCATGGCGGCCTTGCTTTCCGCCCCAGATCAAGAAAACTCTCCCTCATACGCGCCATCACGCGTGCCCTCTCAAAGGGGATGGCCCGCGGCCACAACTCCATTGTGGCTCCTGAGAAGCAGAGCGAATTTAAAACCGAGTCTAGCTTCGATGATGATGATGATGTTGATAAGGACTGTACAATGGGAACTCAGAATTTGCAGTGGGCCCAGGGGAAAGCTGGTGAGGATAGAGTACACGTGGTGGTCTCCGAGGAGCACGGATGGGTTTTCGTCGGCATTTACGACGGATTTAACGGCCCAGATGCGCCCGACTATTTGCTGTCCAATTTGTACCCAGCCGTTCATAAAGAGCTCAAGGGTTTGCTTTGGGATGACAATAATAGCAATAGTAAATCTGAAAATTTAGCGGATTTTGATCCTTGCACGAGCAGTGCTGGAATAAATGAGGACTTACGGCATTGTAAAAAAAGGTCAAGAAATTCAAAGAGCAAATATCGAGGAGTTGCTAAGAAATGGGAGGAAAATCACCGGACTTGGAGATGCGAGTGGAATAGGGAAAGATTGGAGCTGGACAAACGGTTAAAAGAGCAGTCGGAACAAGTTGAGCAAACGAATCACGGGGATGTGCTGAAGGCTTTGTCAAGGGCTCTTAGGGAAACTGAGGAGGCATATTTTGATGTTGCTGACCAAATGGGGGGAGAGAATCCTGAGTTGGCCCTCATGGGCTCGTGCGTTTTGGTCACTTTGATGAAGGGGGAAGATGTATATGTGATGAATGTGGGGGACAGTCGGGCTGTCTTGGCCCGAAACAAGGGGCCCGATCTTTGGAGCCAGGATTTGGAGAGAATTAATGAGGAGACATTATACGATCTTGAGTCTTTTGATGAGGGTGTTCCAGATTTGGTGCCGAGCTTAACTGCTTTGCAGCTCACGAACGAGCATAGCACTTCGGTTGAGGAGGTAAAGAAAGTTTGCTCAAAATTGATTTGCGTGTTNTAGATTGAATTGTTTGCCGAATTTAAATTTGTTGTTGTTGTGGTCTGTACGACAGGAAGTTGAAAGGATTAGAAATGAACATCGTGATGATGCTTGTGCTGTGATCAATGACCGAGTGAAAGGTTCATTGAAGGTTACTCGAGCTTTTGGGGCCGGTTTTCTCAAACAGGTGTGTATATGTGAGTGTGTATGTTGTTTTGGAGCATATTCTTTGTGGTTTCAGATATTTGAGATAAAGCATAATATGGTTCTGATATGGTACCAAACGCAACGTGTCCTTGTACAAGGTTTTCAGAAATGAATGTCGAGTTGCTTTTGCGGTTATGCGTAAAACGTTTTTGAGGCCAAACACTAGGAATGATTGTGATTTCATAGTAGCACAGTTGCCTTTTTTTTTTTTGTTTTGCTTTCCCTGTTGGAATCTCTCAGTGGGAATTGAATAGCCATCCATTATGCTCAAAAGTGGACTTGTGGATATTTAGCTGCAGTCGATAGAAACTCTTTTGTGGATCACATTTCTCTCTTCCTCTCTCTCTCTCTCAAATTAGTGTTCAAATGTTTGTGGAATTTCTTTTAATTTGTACTGAGAGAGTAAAATAAATTTCCTTCTTTTCAGAAGAAATAATTATTTCCATCCTAAGGTAATTTTATTTTGGTTATGCAGCCCAAGTGGAACAATGCCCTTCTAGAGGCGTTCAGAATCGACTTCATTGGGAGCTCTCCATATCTAAACTGCCTGCCCTCACTTTACCACCATAAGTTAGGGCCAAGAGACCGGTTTCTAATTCTGTCATCTGATGGCCTTTATCAGTACTTCACTAATGAAGAGGTTGTGTCTGAAGTCGAGCTCTTCATTTCTTGGTCTCCAGAAGGTGACCCCGCCCAGCATCTGCTCGAGGAGTTACTTTTCCGTGCGGCCAAAAGGGCTGGTAATTATTTTTTCTTTTCCTTTTTTGGTGATTTAAACGAACACAACACAAAAAGTTGGCTATATACCTTAGTTATTAAACAAGTGTATGTCCCTTTTCAGGTATGGATTTTCATGAATTACTTGAAATACCGCAAGGGGATAGGCGACGGTACCATGATGACGTCTCCATCATCGTCATTTCTTTGGAGGGAAGGATATGGAAATCGTGTGCATGATTTGTAAAAAAAAAAAAAGAATACAATTAAAGCAAAGGTAGAATAATAATGATAGTACAAAGTTCCTGCCCCCAATTTTGTTGTTTACTAGAAAAACCTCTACCGTGCCTACAACTATGAGTTGAAGCTTCTTGGTTGCATTGAAATGTTGCAGATAAAAAATGAAATTTTTCACATCATCTGAAAGGGAAAATTTTCCTTCATTACATGCTCTCTTTTGTTTATCTGCATTTTGTATTTTCTCTTTTGATGGCTCTTGGGGCTTGGCTTGGCATATGCAATTTATCGAATTATTATGGATTGACAGTAATTGGATGTGGGGCGAGGATTGAATTTTTCAGTTGTGAATGTGACCACATTATCTGGATTTGTGTTCTTTTGTTTGCCAACAATATTATGGGGCAGCAGATGAGATGAGATGCACCCACTTGATTAGTAAACAAGCACCTAATTAGGACTCTTTATTAGTCTTCTTTTGAATGAAAAAAAAAAAAGATTAATATTATATTTGGGAAATTACTAAAAATATTCTAATTTTTTTCTCAAGTTCTTGCTACTCCAGCTTGTCTCTTGCCTGATCATGAATTTAGAAACTCGATTTAATATTTGTGATTTTTCTTTGTTACAATTAGACTTAATTTGTCTAATGACAATTACATCTAATATTTTTCAATTTTCAGAAGGGCAGGTGTAAGTGATCTAATGGGCACAACAAAAGCAGTTGATATAATAATAAACAACTGGGGTCATGTAATCTTCAAAACTCGTAACTCCGAACGTCTAACTAATTCGAAGATTGTGTTGTAAATAGTGTAGGTGGGGAGGTTGGAATTTAGATGCACAACGCTGACTCCGTCTCTAAGCCTCTCTTGGCATTTATGTTGACTGTGTTTCTAGTCTCCCTTGGCATTTATTTTTGGACCTCAGATTTTGTGAGTAATAATAATATAATAAGAATAAGGCGATTGTTGTATTATATGGAGGAGTTGTAACATGTGCGTATACACTTTAAAAGACTAGTTTATAATTTTTTTATGATTTAAAATTACGTTTTCATCTTTTAATGGGGTTTTCATTTTTTTTTTGCATTATTATTTTAATTAATTAAAAAAACTAGACTATTAAATAATGTGTTGGGTCAAACATATCGAAACTAAAAAATAGTTTTCATATAATTTTAATATTTAAATAAAAAAGAGTACATGAAAAAATTGGTATACAAACTTTCATTTTCTAAATTAATATTGTTTGTTTAAAATCACTTTTTAGTTGAGGACAAGATGCAAATGTGCCCAATAAATAACAATATTGTGACAACAATAGTAAAAAAGCAACGTATCAAAAATTCCTCTCGTCATGGGAGCCCTAATTCCTCTCGTCTGAGAAGTAGAAGTGTTGTCGTTGACGGCCATTGTTCCAGTAGAGAGTCTTCTCTCATTGTTCCCTGTTTCAATAGTGCTCTTTTTGCTTTATTTAGGAGTTTCCAGCTTCTTTAGGAAACTCTAATTCTTTAACGGATCTCTTTCCCATTTGCTTAGGTCATCTTCTCTATCTAATTGCATCCTTTTCATTGTGTGTCTTTCTCAGGTTATTGAGGCTCTAAGCTTTCGATATCATCCTTGGTGTCAATCGCTCAGTATTCTATCAATAGAGGAAGTCAATCGCTCAGTATTCTATCAATAGAGGAAGATATTACTAAAAATTTTGAAGTTGTTCAACTCTCTGCGAGGGAAGCGGACATTATACCCCTTGAAATTGAAGATATTCACAACAACGCTGAAGAATGTAAAAGAAGTCTGTTTTGTAAATTCCACGGTTTGAAAAAAGCCCCTCTTCCAGGTATCAGGAGAGCAATAGGGATGATTTGGCAACTTAAGTCAACAGTGACAGTTCGAGAACTCAGCTCCAACTACTTTCAATTCGTCTTTGAGGATATTGAAGATAAAATTAAGGTTAGCAAAGGCATTGCATGGACTTTTGAGAATCAATTCCTAGTGTTGAAAGAGTGGCATGAACATCTTCATGCTGAGCACCCTATTTTTAAAGAGCTAATATATGGGTTCAATCTTGGAACTTACCACAATACTGGTGCTCCTCCGAGGTTGGAGTCAAAATAGGAAGAGCTTTTAAGAAAGTTATTGATGTCTCAGTCCCCCCAAAGTGGCTGGTTGGCAGGCAAATGTATTCGGCTCCTTGTTACAATTGATCTTGACTAGCCAATTCAGAGGTATGCCTCGCTCATGCTTCAAAATTGGAAAGTTCTAGTGGAGTTTAAATATGAAAAGCTTGTCAGTCTTTGCTTCTATTGCGGTCTGTTGGGACATATTGACAGGCATTGTGTTACCAGAGCAGTTGATATAGCCAATGAGAGATTTAAGGAAGGATCCTTTGGAGATTGGTTGAGAGCCCAACATATCCCCCTCCTCAATATGGCTGCAACCAGAACTCAAATTCAGTCCCCCAAACCCCCAGGGTTAACTTCCCTCTTCAATCTTCAACCCCTCAGAAACCTCAATCTCAAATCTCTGAAACTGCACCATCATCTCTCAACCCAACCTCAACCTAGATACAACTCTTGTTCCTCTTAACTCCAACCCTCCCCAACAAGGTTTAAATCAGTGTTTTCAATACCGTACCGTACCGGCCGGTAATACCGGATACCGGCCATTGGGATGGTACAATTGTACACAGAATACCGGATTTACGGTTATACTGGTTTGTACTGGGGTCATATCGTAAATACCGGAAAAAACCGGTCCAAAATACCGGTCATCAAAAAAAAGAATTTAAAAAAATTTTAAAAAAAATTATTAATTTAAAAACATAAAATTTAAATTGGAAGTTATAATATTTTATTTTTATCTCATTAGTAAGTTAAAATTAATGATTATGGTCATTTATTTTTTTTACTTTTTTGCATTTGGTATAATACATTTTTATATAAATATATATATCATTATATTTACTAATCCGGTAATACCTCGTACCTGTGGCTAGATCGGTATGGCCACCAGTACGGTATTTAAAACGCTGGTTTAAATAATAAATCCCCTGTTTCTCCTCTCTCCCCAGTACCACCTCTAATTGAGATACCAGCCCAACCCAATTTGCACATTTCAGATCAAATGTTGGTTGAAACTAATTAGAATCGCATGGAAATCATCCAACAATTCTTCACTTCAGTCCAGATACAACTTCTCAACCCCTCACCACTCAACCCAAGAAATGGAGAAGGAAAACTAATCTAAATGAAACCCCAGCCAACTCCTCATCCCCTATCTCCAGAGGGAAAAGACAGCTTCCTAACTCATTCACCTATGTCCCCTTGGAACACATAACAACCAACCTACCTATTCAATCAGCCCATTATCCGAAAGAACAAAAATTATCTCTCTCAGTGGTGCAGGAGGCCAGCCTTGAATGGCCCTATCCCCACATTGAAAACAATCTTTTGGAACTGTAGAGGGTTGGGTGGCCCCTCTACAGTCTCCCAACTCAAGGAGTGTGTCATGCTCCACACCTCGGTTTAAACCTTTTTGTCAGAAACTAAGAAAAAAGACAATTTTATTAAAACAGTTAGTAGAAACCTCGACATAGGGGATAATTAGTCTTCTTGTGAAACTAATAGTAAGAGTGGAGGTCTTCTCCTATTTTGGCATTCTTCCACCAAAATTATCCAGATCATTAAAAACTCGTTTTGCATCCAAGTTAATTTTTGGGACCCCAAGCTGCAAGCCTCTTGTTGGGGAGTTTTTATTTATGCTAGTACAGATAACTTCACTAGACTTGAGCAAAGGGAGTTCATTTTGCAGCAAAAAACAAACTGGGGAAAGTTTTGGTATGTTGGAGGAGATTGGAATGACATCACAGGACCAGAAGTTAAGAAAGAGGGTAAAACCAGGCTATATTCCTCCTTTAAGTTGTTTAATGATTTTATTCATGATCTTGGGGGGCATGATCTTGGCATCATTGGGCATCAATTCACCTGGGAGAATCATAGATCAGAAGATGGTTATGTGGAAGATAAGTTAGATAGAGTGTTTGTCTCTCTTGATTGGTCAGCTTTCTAGATCTCAGCCCAAGTTCAGAATGTATTCAGATCATCTTCAGACCACAGCTTGCTCCTCCTTAAATCTGAACCTGCCCTCACAATACCCAGAAAAAGATTCCTTTTTAATGGAATATGGCTATCCAAGCCAGGAATTCAAGAAGCAGTCTCTTTAGCTTGGTCTTCTTCTTCAAATGGTACTCCTTTGTTCAACCTAAATCAGAAAATCAAATCCACAAAGGTTGAACTACTTAAATGGAGTAAGGATTTCAATACAGATATGAAGAAGAGAATTGAGCTCCTTAACAGTACACTGACTCAGTTGGGGGTAGAAGGGGAGAACAGTGATTGGACTCAATGGGAGGAAACTAAAAGAGCATTGCACACTGAGAACAAACTAGAGGAGCAATTTTGGAGACAAAAATCAAGGGTCTGTTAGCTTCAAAATGGTGACAAGAATACCAAATACTTGCATGCCCAAACAGCACATAGAAGAAAAATTAACAACATTACTAGGATCATTAAAGAAGTTTGTACCATCTGTGTTACCAAAGAGGATATTGCTAAATGCATTGAGGATTACTATACTGATTTGTACACTTCCGAAGGCTCAGATGGAGGCTCACATATTCTGAACAATATTCAGCCTGTCATTTCACATGATATGAATACTAAGCTTCTGACTAAAGTGGATGAATCTGAAATCAAGGAAGCTCTCTTTCACATTGATAATAAAAAAGCCCCAGGCATCAATGGTATGACTTCCTCTTTCTTCCAGCAATTTTGGGATATTGTTAAGTATGATTTTTATGTTCCTGTGCATAGTTTTTTAGAGTCTGGTTGGATTCTGAAAAGTCTAAACCACACTCTCATTACCCTTATTCCTAAATTTCAGAACCCAGAGTTGGTTTCACACTACAGGCCAATTAGCCTTTGTAGTGTTTTTTACAAAACATTTCTAGAATTCTAGCCAAGAGATTAAAAAAATGGCTTCACCGTTGTATTAGTGATAGCCAATCAGCCTTTATTACTGATAGGCAAATATTAGATAATGTCATTATTACTCATGAAGCATTACATTTCCTTAATAGGCATAGGTCTGGCAATTCTTACTATATGGCTATTAAGTTAGATATGTCTAAAGCTTTTGATAGAGTCGAGTGGCCTTGTGTCAGTCAGATTTTGTGTAAATTAGGTTTTCATTCTAGCTTTATTAATTGGATTATGGCTTGTCTATCTAACACTTGCTTCTCTTTCAATGTTAATGGGGATCCTAAAGGCTTTGTCCAAAAAACAAGAGGAATCAGACAGGGGGACCCACTGTCCCCCTACACTGTCATTCTTGTTTCAGGAACTTTCTCTAGTTTGATTAATGC